GAGGATAAATATTTGTGTGATTTTTACAATAATAAATATATATATTTAAAAAACCTAGCTTTGAATGCTAGTATTACAAAAACCTACTCTAAAAACAAAATTAGAAAATTTGCTTTATCATTCTACAATTGCAATTTCTCCTGATTCTAGATGGATTGTGATAGGTAGTGAAATGGGATGGATTAGAATTTGGGATTAATAAGAAAATTGTTATAGTCGTAAGATATTAAGCAGATCAATTAATGATATTGCTATTTCTTAAGATTTAAATTGGCTTGCCTATAGTGAAGAAAGTGATCCAGTTTAAGAAACTTAAGATTATATTAATTATGTATAAGATCCAAAAGTTTGGGTAGTAAATTTAAAACATAATGCAAAATAATTTAGATTGGAAGAAAAAACTAATTTTATTAATTGTTTAAAATTTACATAATCAAATTTATTAGTAAGTTCTAGTAAAGACTTAAATATTCGAATTTGGAGTGTAAGTAATAGGAAACTATTGTAGAGAATTCCATGTTATCATGAAATTGTTCATTTATCAATTCATCATCTGGAATATTTTCTTGGAGCGATTAGTAAATTATTTTGTATCATTCATATATATTATACAAAAAATGGTAAACTTAAACAATTTTGGAAAACCAATCTATTAAGTAGCATATCAATTTCATTCTCATATAGTGGCCATATGTTATTGACTGAAGGATTAAATGATAAAAATAGATAGATTTATTAATTATGGAATATATAAACAAAAAAAATGCTTAGAACTTTTAAAGGATCATTGAATTCAATTAAAATAGCATAATTTTCTTAAAATGATTAATAATTGGTTATTAAAAATAATGATAATAAAATTGCATTTGTTGATATTTCAAAAGGTGAAGAAATTAAAATTTATGAAAAAGTTGAAGCAGACGCCTAAATTTGTTTTTCTCGTGATTGTAAAACTATGGTGTGCGATGATTTATGGTAAAGAGTTTTTGTATATACTATGTGAAATATGATACTTAATGTGAATTCTATTAAAATTGATTCTGATAATTTATTCTTTAAATTCACTGGTCTTTAATGATCTAAAATGTTGTTGATAATCAATCCTAAACCATAATGCTAATCATTAACTCTATAAAGATTGTCTCAACATCATTGAAATATTTAAGTATATTTCTTTAATTGTTTTCAAAACTTTATAGAATATAATATCTATTTAATAAATTAAAATCTAAATAATTCTTTTAACTATTTTAGATATAATACCAATAACAAGGGGACATAATCTATATTAAATAGTAGTTGAATAATGCTATTAGAACCTACTTATTATTGGAATTTAGGTGTCAATTTCTAATACAATTCAAAATAGAATCTAAATTTTCTCAACCACAAACTAATTAAATTGGATTTAAAATCAAGAATATTATACATTTACATTTTCTGAAGAATATCAATACTATAATTTATTAAATGAGAATTTAATTTTTAAATATCATTTCACTTTATGTTTATGTCAGATTAGATTAACTTTTCAAAGAGGTAATCAACCTAAAAACTTTGGTTATTAATTTTGCTTTAATAATTATAAAGTTCTTGTGAACTCTCAAATTCAATTCAATTTAATATTAACTAATACAATAAGATTGCGGATACATTAATGTATTTATTTGTGTTGTATTTTTAAATATATTAAAAAGACTTGCAACCATTTATTTAAATATTAGCTTTTGTAATCTAATAATAGCGAATCCTAATAAAAATCATTTATTATTTTATTTTGCCAATACTTCCAAATGATATTCATAATGCAAATTTAAATTATTTTTGAGAATCTTAGGAATAGATTTATATCCCATGCATTTAATCTTTTATTTCAGTTTAAAAACTAAAAATTAAGTAATTTATTTTAAAACATAGACTATTAATTTGAAATATCAAAATTGAAGCATCCAATTTTAATGGATAATGAAGATTAATCTAAATATAATTAAAATTTCAACAAATCACCAAATATTTATTTATTGGTAATTGGAAACAACTTTTTACAATTGGAGATTACATTAATTAATTAGTATATTCATTAGATAATTTGATGATGTCGATGATATTACATTAATTAGATTTTTATCAGAAAATTTCTATTAAGCTTGAAAATCTACTGCAAAATATATGTATATCATGGATTAATATAATAATATGAGAAGTATATTTAAGAACATAATAATGAAATAAAATGCTATGAATTAATATTTATAAGCTTATTAAATCTGTTAGCGCTTCAAATATAACTATATCCATTAATTCTTTATATGAAACATAAAAGAAAGTAAATATAGATTTATATATTTAAATATGATGAAGTAATTATTATCTCTCTAAAGAATTAAATTTTCAAAGGACGATGTTAACATTCGTTATTTAGGATAAATATTTAATAATTAATTCAGTAATCCAAATGATTGAGAATAAAAGCTCAATGAGAATCATTATTAATTAAAAGATCTAGTGATTAATATAATAAGATTATCAATAAATATTATCTACATAAATTAGATATTTTTAATATTAA